AGAGAGAGAGAGAGAGAGAGAGAGAGAGAGAGAGAGAGGGAGAGAGAGAGAGAAATAACTCTACCAGTAACATAAGCCGTAAGAGTGGAGGGGTAGTAGCTAAACACAATGATGATAATGATAATGATAAGGATGTTGATGACAATTTGTAAAACCAGCTGTTTCGTCCACACGCACCCCGGCCCCCTGTGGCTATAGTCACAGCCATCGGTGTGTACAGTAAGTGGTCGGGAACACAGTTGGTGTGTGTAGTTGTGAACGTGTGTAGTGTGTTACTCTGGGCATGTGTAATGTGTAGTTGTGGACATAGAAGGCATGTGTTATGTGTAGTTGTGAACGTGTTTAGTGTGTAACTGTGGGCATGTGTAGTGTGTTGTTGTGAACACAGTAAGTATGTGTTGTGTGTAGTTGTGAACACCGTTGGTGTGTTCAGTTGTGAACATGTGTAATGTGTAATTGTGGGCATGTGTAGTGTGTAGTTGTGAACTCGGTACGTGTGTGTCCGTGTTTTGACCAGCGTCCAGTGTGTGTGTTGTGACCCACTATGTCCGTGTTTTGACCAGCGTCCAGTGTGTGTATGTTGTGACCCTCTATGTCCGTGTGTTGACCAGCGTCCAGTGTGTGTGTTGTGACCCCCTGTACCTGACCTCCCCTCCTCTATGCACGTCAGGTATTCCCCCACATACCCACCCTCCCCCCACTGAAGCCAGCCTTGTACAGATCTGCCAAGTACCAGGTGAGACTAGAGTGGCCGGCAACTTCTCGTAATGTACATCTCTCATTTGTCTCTCTTAAATTTCTACACTCTTTGCCATCAGCTGGTAGGAGAAAACAAACAAACAATAAACAAAACAAAACATATAATTAACGGAAATTACCCTGGAAGGCACCAAACGTTGGCGCCATTTTCTCAATAATTTTATCTCTAATCCCACCCAGCAGTAATGGGTACCTGACTTCGAGTTGGGGAAGTAAAGGCGGCGTGGAAAGGAACTGGCCACCCTACGACAATATTACGCCAAAGGCCCAGGAAGTTGTCTCACTAATAAGGCAATCCCCAATGTCCGGATTGGATGCGGGAACAACTTTACTTCACCATGCGACCCACACCTCCTTCATTTGCAAATAATCTCGTCGTCTATCCAGATAGATGGGTTTTTTCCCATCCAAAACAAGACAAATTGTGCACAAGCTTTAAGAAAGATGCTAGCAACATCTCTGTTATAATGGGCACAAGCAGAGACGAGGGCCTGATTCCACCGTGTCGCGACACATAATTTGTTCACTTCTCACACAGGACACTGGTAGCCTACATTTATTCTCCTTTTAGAAAGTAACAGTATCCGAGAAAGACCTGGATATAGATGGAGTCAGGGAAACACTAACAACTCACGGCATCCCCCTGACCCAAGCTCTCCGGCTGGAGGCAGAGAGACGTCTATTTCTTCCCGCGACACCCAAAAGGGTATAAGCGGCGGATAAAATAAAGAAAGTAAAGAAAGTAACAGCACACGGCAGGCTCTGTGCTGTACCAGTTAGCTGCTTTTTCATTACGAAAGGCTTGGTTCGGCTCCCGAGTGGGGAGAATGTTTATCGAGTAACTGGGTCTCTCTGCTGGGATGATGTATCTCTCTCAGCTTGGGTTGCCCCTGACAGGCAGGGTCGGAAGCCGGTCTCCTAAATGATCTAATAGTGTCGATGGGGGAGTAAAAACACTTACTTTACAACATCCGTGTCATTATTAATTTTGTCCTATCTCCTTTCCATGTTCCTCTTCACAGTCGCGGGAAAGATTTGTCAGTATCAAGAGTTGCTCGCCGCTCGGCTTGTTGTACCGTTCATGTTCACTTCTGGTTGGAAACTTACTTACTTTACTGGATGGAGAATTTCTTAGTTTCAATAAGACTTTAATAACGGCACTTGCAACACAAATAGGTCATGTAAGTGCCGGGGAGTTAAAAAAAATAGAGGTCTCACTGGAGAGTAACATACAAAGAAAAAGAAAAGAATGAGAGATAAGGACGATAAACGTTTGATAGGAAAGAAGGAACAAACCGCACCAGAGCACCCGCCAACCACCCTCACTTTAAATAATTTACTAATAGTAAAGTAAGTAAGTTGTACAAAACAATACTGAGCGCGTCGTACATTTGTTGTTTCAACGTGCTCAGTTGTGGCGTATGGTGAATTATTTTGTTGTGTGGTTTCTTCTGTTCCAGGAACGGTTTGGTTTTCTGTCACTTTGACTTGTCTCCCGTAGTTGGGAACACAATTTGTCCGTTGTTTCTTCGAATTGCTTCTTTTGTTTTTGCTTTTGCTTTATAATTTTTGCATATTTTGTTTTATCGTTGCAGGTGATTTACTTTGGCGTTTTGCCTATATTATTGTTATATTCTTGCCTGTGAAATTGTGACATTTGTATTTGACGAGTTTCTTCAGCATGTACGATCTTGATACCACCCTGAAGTAAGGGTTTTGTTTTCTTGTTGCGTTGTTTGTTGTATTTATAGAGATGACCTTTGACTTTGTTGTCTAGTTTGTACCCAGAGGTTGAGGGGGGGGGGGGGGGGGTTTACTTTTTATGGCTTTTAGTTTACCTTGGTCTTTATAGCTCTCCTCCACCTCCTCTTTCCCGTTGTCGCAATTATATTTTTTCCCTGTCTTTGGTCCCTTCCTGTCTGCCTTCTCTTCTCTCCTTCTCAATACGATGATGATAATAATATTTACAACAATAACAATAACTCACACACTCACACACACACACACACACACACACACACATACACACACACACACACACACACTCTCTCTCTCT